AGCTCACTTATATCACAGATCTGCCATTGTCGCAGCTCTAATATGCGCGGCAACAAGCGCTAAGGCCTTGCAAAGTGATGGCGACTAATGTGAACTTGCGGACGAGGTACCTCGCGCCAGACAAGTCCAACGCGTCCGATGCGCTCTCTCTCTCTCGTTCAAAAAAGGAAGAGATTGACTCCTTGTTCACGGGCGTTGTTGGCGATATTGTTTGCTTCTTTTTTCCACTTTCAGTCGTCTCGGCATCCACAATTCCAATATCATTGCAGCTACACCCATTAAATGATGGAGATGTGTTTTTAAGAAATATTGGCCTCGACGCTTTGTTCTTCGCAGTCGCCGATGCTTATGAGTCAGTGCTTCATCAACACGCGGACGCATCCGTGCCGTGAGCTTTTCTATGGAACCAAGTCGCCTAATGGTTCTTCTGCCTCTTCTACTCCTCCCTGCGTGATAGGCCTCTTGTCGGGTACACACTCCTCCCTCTTCCCATGGTCTGTGCGAGTGATCTGGCCGATGGCCTTCGGCTCCTATCGTTGACCTCGTTATTGTTACTAATTACATCACCCCAGACCCATATCCAAATTTTCTGTCAAACGGCCGGCCGTCGAAGGTGGTAAAGCGAGGGATTACGATAAAGTGCGTATGTAGCAAGGAAGTATTGCATCAGTGGAAGCAGCAGCCGGAAGCCAAAGGGTTCATTGCCATGGAATAGGTTAAAACTTGATTAGTTTGTGTTAAGCACTTCTTCAAGCAAGATGTGTCATTTTCGTCTCCTAGGGTGCACTAGCCGCAGTGCACTCAGCTTGCGAATCCTTTTCGAGCTCCGCCTGTGCTCCGCTCCAGCAGCACCAGTCGGCTACAATTTTGAAAGTGCCCGTATCCTATAATTTGTATTAAGGATGCCCTTTCAGTCAGGGCAAGGAGTTTGTTGGCATGATAGCGGCTAACTGGTTCGCAAATGACCACCAGTTGTTTACTGGCTCGTCATTATTGGATGTCAACGGACATCTGAAGGGATCCTATTTTGCGTGTTTTTGACGGATTTTTCTGTCTCTTTTCGCCACTGGCGCATTATGCAACATTCCCATGTCCACTTTAGATCCAACCCAAACTCATCACAATCCCTCGCTTTAAATATGACTGGTGTGAGAACAAATCAAAGCCTTACATATTTTCCACCGCTGTTTCATTTTCATACCTAGTAAACCATTGACATCTACAACCTCCATCCTTCTCACGGCCCATATGACCCCCATCGAGGAACCCTAGAGCGTGATCAGGAATGCTTTCCTCTGTAACATTAGATCATCCTAAAAGTATCGGCTATAGGATCCTATAGAAGTCGAGTGCACAGATCGCAACTTGATTGATCATCGAAGCCTTTTACCGATTTGAAAGAAAAAGGAAACTCATTCAAGGCAATTGAGAAGGAATTCTTCGTGGGCACAGAAGCAGATCTTCGTATTTAGGATTCAACAGATGAGAATCATAATAGTTTGTTAAGCTGGGCTCGCTCATGTAGACGGATACATCTTCCCTTGTCTATCCTCGTCTTGCCCCAGTGCGGCCAAACAGGTATTGCTCGAAGCTTTATCAATGTATGTACAGTGAACGTTAAGCGTGAAAGGACAGTTCCAACATCTAAACAATAACCAGGTCTCCGAAGCAGTAACTGCATTGACATGCCATTGCAAAAGTTGGAATGCTCTGGCTTGACATCGAGACATACCAATGGCCAAGTGATCACACAAAAAACCGTGCCTTCATTGAGGCAATGGGAAAAGAGCTAACCGTAAGTCAAATCCTATTTTGGAGTTGTTATATTGCTCACTTCTTTGATAGATGTATTTTACCTATTCAATTTTCTTCTTGCTATAATACTCATCCATTGAAAAACGTTCCACTTGTTCTTCTAGAGCCTAGGACAAAGTTGGGGTGTGTATAGCAACTATAACAACTGGCAGGCAATTGTTGGTCTTGATTATACTGGTATGAAGGACAAGCAGCTCTGGTGGGCCACCTACAACAATGAAGCGGTAAGCAACCTTAAGGTGTTACAGGAAATCAGTTGTTGTTTGTTTCTCAAGCTTCTAAAATCCCTATAAGGAATTCGCGCTCTTTTACCATCTATGAACTCTATGGACGAAACGTGGTAATGAGTAAAGGGCATTGTGGTGTAAGCGTAACTTTTGCGAGCGTGCGCCATAGCTTAACAAGTGCTACCGCTGACCTGCTGTGAAATGCGTACGAAAGGGATTTAAAAAATCTCCCAGTGGTAATTGTGGAGTATGCTATCCCGACAGAATGGATACGTTCTATCGAAGGCAACCTCGTATACTATGGACGAGTCAGCGAGGGGGTCCGTGTTGGCATGAATGTTTAATGGAATTTTAGGTCTCATAAAATATATCATTTGATTTAGACGATGACCGAGTTTTCGATTTCTGGAGGAGTCGACAGGTTGCAGGGGGGATGGGGGCAGCCGATTTTTGAGAGGTTTGCGAGGGGTGGGGACGGCATACTTTTTCAGATTTGTCAGTTCAACGATAAGTAGAAAAGTTGAATAAATATGAAATTCCCTTCATTCCTACACGCCTTGCACGATGGCATTTTGGAGGGATGTTGGTGGGAGTTTTAGTGTGAACAATTACGGTGGCGATGATAGCGAAAGGGTCGTACGTCCAGGAATGGTTAGGGGGTATCGGATGAAAAGCACGGCGAGAAATAGCACGGTCATCTTCATGAGCTGCTTTTCTTCTTCTATCACATGTATTTTGATTCTAATAGGTAAAAAATGTGCGTCGAGCCAGCCTGATGAATTAAAGGCAAGATTCAGGATTGAATTATGAGTTAATTCCACTCAAATGTGAAAGTAGGGGTAGGTAGTGGACCGCCAGTGCAGAAAAGAGAAAGAGAAATCGTGAAATGCTTAGGAAATACGAGCCATTTCCTCTACGGTGCGGAGAAGTTCAAAAGGCGTTCCTAGCGCTCAGCCACCGTAAAGGCTCATTAAGTGGGTCTGAGCCCGAACTTTGCCATTAAAGCGTATTTGCAACTATTTTAGAATTTCAACAACTTCAAAGCGTTTGGTGGATGGACTAAGCCAAATATCCATCAGTACAACGGTGACGCCAATGGACCATGCTCATTCAAGATTGATACCAACTGGTATCCCTGAACAACGAATTGCCATCGTACGATCGTTTGAGGTCTAGCATCAGCTTTAATAAATGATTACTTCACATATTGCACTGGTAATCAAAAGTTAACATCGTCATTATTTTATTTATTTGGTATGTTTCGAAACATATTTATGCACGCTGCCATGAACGTAGTGACCAAGAGTACACCACGAAAGAATAAGAAATATACCAATAGAAATAAGAATTCCTACGATAGGAAGTTGAGAAAATCGCGACTGCGAACTTCTTCTTTTTTTCATGCACCTGCTGTGCGTTTCGAAAGTATAAGGATGAAGTCTCTATTGTTTGCAATATCAGAGAATCAATTGAGCGTGCACTGAAACTATAGTTTGCTTTACTTCAGAACGAAACCAGGGCTGCAAACATTTTTGTAAGGAAATTTGAAAATGTTCCCTGTTTCAAAACGAAGAAGACACCCTCGTCAAAAGGACTTCAACTAAAAAATTTTTCTGTCAATTTATATGCAATGCTGCTGGGCATGCTTAGTGGAACACCATCCTTCATGCGCCTCGATTTGAGCTCTTTACAGACGAACAATATCCATATGGCACCGCAACGTCTTGACAACACGCCTGAGCAACGTCTTGACAACAGCCTGAGGTCATCAGTAACATGTGCCTGCTTTCCGACAGCGTAGATCTGTTACACAATAATACAATAATACACTAATCAGTTCCACAAAAGGTTTTTATAGGTTCGGGTGCGAACTGTGTAAGGGGCAACCAATAACGTTGATTGCGTTGTTGCTAAGCCGCAGTTACCGGCAGCAGTTAACGGCGGCATTGTCGTGAATGATAAAGGGATCCCTCTCGGAAAAACCGTGTTTCTATTTCATCCATAATTCACTAACTTTGAACTCATCGTTTACGATAAGAACGAAAAGGACAAAAAAAGCACTCATTTTGCTTTAAAAAAGGCACTATTCAACTATTACAACCCCAAAATCTCAAAATTTTGAATTTCCTCGAAACTTCGCCCATAGGGGTTATTCGATGCCCTGATTACGAAAATGACATTCATTTTGGCGTTGGCGCCATTTGGCGCCAGGGCTATTTTCACCAAATTCGCTGTAAACTTGTATATAGGGGTTATTTTGGGTCCTGATTATGGACATGCCATTCGTTTCAATAGTGTAGGGGATAGTGCCACGCCCTCAAAAGGGTCAACAAATTCTTCCTCACGCAAACCTTCACAAATGTTAAACATATTTCAAGGCTAGCAAGTGCCTAGGGCAAACCCCTTTAAACTTCCCCTTAGGTATGTGGGTTGGGCCCCTCACATACTTTCACTACGGCCTACCACCAATAACATAAGCAGTAATAATTACTACCTCAGTCAAGTTTTTCACAAAAACAAGGTGAACGGCTTATACAGCCTAGACAACTTCGGTACCACCAACCATTCTAATCAATGTAAAGCAGGATGCAATAAATGTGACATGATAAATAAAGAAAATTATATTATATCAAATACCACAAATTTGAAAATCAATACATACATAGATAATAATGCAAATTGCGGTAGTGAAAATGTAATCTATTGTCTTAGCTGTTTAGAATGCGGATATCAATATGTAGGCCTGACTACTAGAAAACTCAAAGAAAGAATGACGGAACATATGTACCATATACAAAAGAATGATCCAAATAAATACGTATATAAACACTTTCACGATAAATGTAAGAAAAAGCTTATTTCTTTCACTATACTTGATAATTTACAAGAAAATACAGACAAGATTATTTTACAAAACAAAGAAGCATTTTGGATTAAACTATTAGTAACAGCCTTCCCATTCGGAAATAATGACTGTATAAAAACGTATGGCAACATATCCAATATCATTAATCCCGCTCAGTTATAAAGCTGAACACCCGTATTTCTCACTCAGAATCCTCAAGAAAAGAAACAGAAAAGGTAAGAGAACCAGAACAAATAAGAAAAATGACACCTTAATAGCAATTAATAGATTCAAAGAAGTATTAGATAACACATCTGATTTCAAAATATTTAAAAAAGAATTGTATAGCATGACTAAACGTGCTATTACTCAAATAATTCGTTTATGCTATTCAGACTCATTTTTCACAAATATGCAAGAGGAAAAGAAGTTCATACTTTGTCTATTATGCAAATTTTACTTCAAATCACCTAACTTGAACATAATAAAAAACAGTGATAAAACCTTTTGCAATTTGCCAACCTACTATCATACTATTATATAAACCAGAGTTTGTTTGTCTGACCGCTCCCCAAAAATTCGCAAGTGTCCCCCACATGTTTATAATTTCTTCCTTCAAAAATCACCTAGGGAGGGCGGGTCAAGTTTGAAATGGGTAGAGTATGAGTCGCTCTTTAAGGGAAATATATTGGCCATGCTGAACTCCGCCTCCAGTGGGCGGGGCGTGCGTCGAATTACAAAATTTGGTGAAAAAATTGCAGTTTTTGGCTTCAGAACAGTCTAAAGTAAGGGAAAAAGTAGGGCCTTAATAGGGTACTCAGGTATTATCACCGCTTTATAACGGCC